TAAAAGTCAGTGCGCAATAATCATGTAAATTAAGAAAATTTCGCGAGTAATTGGGGCGTGTTAGCAGACCTACCCCTACCAACCCCATTTATGCATAGCTGACGCTTGCTGTTTTTTCTGGGGGGAGGGTCGCTTGCTGTTTTCTCATTTACTCTGACGATGGCTTCTCGTGTGGAGCCGAAAGCTCAGAATAACTATCGTTCCAGAGATCGCGACTTCCTCTTCCTTACAACAAAAACCTGGGGCACGTATATTCGCTTCTATTCGTGAATTTTTTATTATAAGTTTTGGGGCCTCCATAATCAATCTTGTCCTTGTTTTTTCCTCCACCCTCCTCCAAGATTGACTTTATGGGCCCAACCTGTGCGCTCAAAAGAAATCCTTGTATTGAGCTCTCGGACAGCGCACAGATGCCCGGAAACATGGCCTGCAACAGTGGCCAAGGTGGAAAGTGCATTCCAACATTAGGCAGCGACTACTATGCTTGCCGGTAAGTCACCTAGATGGGTTTTGTGTTTCGGCAGTTCCGTCTTCTAAACAGTGCGGACACATTAATTATATTTTTCTAGTTTTGTTTAAATTTTTCGCTACCGCACTAGGTTTCAAGATATTGAAAACAGCTATGACTTTGTCGCAGGTAGTAGGGTCGACCATGGAGAATTTAGCCCAAATAACTAGTCAGGTAAGGCAGAATTGGGAGGAACAGTTTTACCGCCGGAAAAATAACCGTACAGAGCTTGTGTCATCAGCTAGCTGCTAGGTAGATCTGAACGCCAGGAGAGCCTGAGAAGTTGTATCGTTGTGTTGCTTTGCGTGGGCTATTTCGTCTGCACAGCCAATCAGCTGGGGCAGGTGTATTGATTGACATCAAGCGAGTCAAGCAAGTTATTCTCACAAAAGGTTGCAGGGTACTTATTTAGTCAGTCTGATGAGGGAGCGTTGGCGACAATGGACCAATCAGCTATAACGAAAAATCGATGGCTAGGGTGCACGCTCTCATTGCCGCCACGGGACAATTGTGCTCCGACGCCCTTCTGTGTTCTGACTCATTGTGAAAGGGGACGCATTCCCAACACCTTCCCTTCAAGTGGATCAGTACCGCTTATGGCGTGGATTGACATGTATGTGCCGCGTTTTCCGACTAACACGGTTGGTCTGGCGCGTTGAGGGCAGTTTCCGGTCTACAGACGCAGGCCCAGGACCTGAGTTCGGAAGTGGTACATCGGAAGAAGCTGCAGGATTCGGTTTGGGGACTGACTAGTCTGCTGGAATGGCAAAGGTGTCCAGCAGGATGTCAGAAGGGAGTGGTTTCGATGATTACTATGCTTGTCAGTAAGTCACCTAGAGGGTTTCTACTGCGGCAGTGTCACCCTCTAAACAGTGTTCACACAATAATTATATTTGTTATAGTTTTGTATACTATCACAACGTATTGAGGCTATTAAGGTTGACCCTTACGGCTGCCATCTTCCATCTGGTAAAGCCAGAGTGTTAGGAATAGTTTTTTTTTCTGCAGAAGGATAGAAAAGTGGGTTGTGAAAGATTTGACTGCCGGAACGCACTTCTGATCGCCAGACGGGCTAGGTCCGGAGTGATGTCTGGGAGCAGGCATTCGAGCAGCCACCATTGGCTGCAGTCTTGAAGGCCATTCGTTGGACCACGCTTGGACGCATTATTAGGTCGCGCGTCAGTGCGTCTGGCGGCAGCCACGGCC